CGAAACATCATTGGCGGAAAACTTGTATACCCTGTCGAAAAAAAATGAGCTTAAAGCGGGAAAAATTGGCGAAATCTGCCGGGTTCAATTAAAACACGAGGTTCACGGGACTGCGACAATCTGATGAGTCTCAAACGGGCAAAACATGTCACAGTTTTGCTACGTATTTTATTTCGTAAATTTCACACAGTTTCACTCATCCGCTACGTAGCCGAAAACTTTCGCGTATTCTTCGTTAGCACCGTGCGTGTTTATATTAAAAACGCTTCGAAGTGTCCAGAATTCCGATATACCGATACTCACCAACTCTCTCACACATACCAGTTTTAATCGCCGACCTAATGTCCACTTGACATTCAGTGTGCCCCACTGACAATCTTCCCACTGTTTAGCATAATGGCCAGGTTTCACGAGAGTGCTGAAGCCTGTTGGTGGACGTGAGGAGCAATCTTGTGTGTAGACACCTTCCTGTTAGTTTGAAAGCAATATCAGTCACTAGTAAAAACCTATGCTCAAAATGAAGGATCCTAAGTCTTATGCGTGACGAATCATTCGCTTTCATGATCAGATTGACTTGCTTGCTGAGATCCTGTTATCTGTCTGTCTTCAGTTCCCCGAGGTAGCTCAGCATACAATTCATTCAAAGGAGCTGTGCAAAGCCGGATACGAAGCTGAAACCCTCACCGACTCTGTCCACCAGATCCGTTCATAAAGGACACGCCGCTCGTTGCCTGATTTTGCCAAAATGAAATGACTTGAAGCTGTTCCGTATTGTGTTTTGCCATCGTCCCGAAACACGGGTTGTGATTTTCATCAAGCCAGCCGTCAAAAGATCGTTCGGTAAAAACCAAAAGCATTTAGGAAAAACCGTCCGGATTCTAAGGCCTTGTGGACGCATCAAGACGCCTCCACATATCTGACGAACCAGTGCACGACAGGTGCACCGTGACAAAAAAAAAGATAGGCCAGTCGGCCGACACAGGCAGAAGAGTTTTGTGTCACCTGTCGACTCAAACACAGTGCTAAAATTTCGATGATTCTCATGATCACTCTAGCCGTGATAGAGACGCATCGTCAAACTTAGTCACACCGACTTTGAATATGTTCTCATACAGCTATTGTAACTTCATCTTATATTTAGATGAGGTCGTTGGGAGACCTTAGTTTGTCTAACAATCTGATTGGTAAGGAGTTTTTGGAATTGTACATTTTGGGTAGTTGCTTTCTTAACACATTGTCAACCTGATGTGGTAGTATCAGATTCATCAACTGGTCGATGTTCATGCGCATGAGACGGGAAGGGATCCACTCCAGTGCAGATGTGTCTAGTCCAGAAGCATTATCCAGGCACTCCAAAGGAGAAATTTCGTATACACCGGATGGGCAGTACCGCATGGAAATCAGCACAGCGGACGGACCGATTACCAGGGTAGGAAGAAAGCGTGTTTAGGAACTGACTAATAAAACGCGAGGCGGCAAAACAGGCCAGTTGGTCACCCGGTTTGATACACAAAATCTGTGCAACTATTCTTTAAATGACCTGTTACCCATAAGATTGCTGAGTAAACTTTAGTAACTCACCGCAGTTCTCACTTTTCTGGGTTCCATTTGATAGGCGTACAATCTCGTGTTCAATTAACGCAAGGTTGATAGAAAATCGCAGACGAATTAATCAAAGAATAGTCAATTCGACCGAGTAGATGAGGTATGATCGTTGATTCACACGTTGCAAGAATATCTATTTTTAACTAACGTGCAAAACAATTCCGTACTGCGGTGTCCTTCTGCGGTCAGCCAGAGACTGCGACGCAATTTTGTATGTGAAATACGCACTATATTGTACAAACACTCCTACGAAATTTGCATGCCACGTGTATCATTAGAACATGTTGGAACCAATTGTTTTAGTTCATTCACATTTACTGATGTCAGTAAGTTGACACTGGTGTGCAGCGAGTGCAGAACGTATGTCCGATAATCAGTAGTCCAGAGTCTGAAACTAAAAAACTACAATTGATAGAGGTACAACCTCATACTTCTCGCATATTTTCCGAATAGTTTGAAGTTACTTATCTGGACGAACCGTCGGCGTCTGCTGTAATCCGTGCAGTTTAATGGCGGCAATAAGCCCATCACACAGTTGACCTGCCAATTGGGCAGCGTAGGCACATTAGGCTGCTTGTCTCTGCAGCTGCAATACGAATGGTAGCGAGTCAACATATTGAACCTAGCTCTTTCGCCTGCTACGAAGTTAATCGATTTAAAGTGCCGCAAAACGTTTTTCTGCAGTGGATTGTAGGGACTATCGATAGGAGAATCTGAATATATCACTGTGTGCGCCTCCTTGCCTCAATGTGCTCAGGTCCGCGCATCACGAGCCCCTGATCAGCCCAGTCATAGAGCAGACAAACCTGGGAATACATTCTGTCAAGAGCACGGAATCCTTAGTTGATCTAAAGTGGAAAAGATATTGACATTCTTCATCGGGTTTGGGATGATGTAAAGGATGCACCAGATAAACCAAAAGGCAAACGCTTAAATAATTATGGGATGTTCTCAAACTTGAGCGCCATATTCTTTCGGTCTTCTCCCGTGACAGATAGTTGTCAGCATTCGAAACGCAAGCCCAACACTATGGAATATCGGGATTGCTCGAAGTAATCGAAAATCTCATCAAGCGAAGGGACAGCTACAACCCGATTTACGGTCACTTCATTCAACCACAGCCCGGTCGGAGTTCACTACAACAAATCAGGCATGAAGTGGGCCATAGGTTGTTGGTTCACTGCCAGAACAGCTGGCAAACATCAAAAACTGTGATGTTCCCAATTCCAAGTTGTCTATACGGCAGCTTCCTGGATGAACTGTATGCATCAGCCGGCTTCTCAAGGATTACAACACGATTGCTGCTCCGCGTTAAGACTTGATCGGATAAAATCGGGAATCGGAGTGGGTCAGCGAAGCACATGCGGCTTACAAACATGTCAAATCGCGGATACTAGATCAGCAACTGACCCGCAAACCGACCAGTGTCGAACGTATGTTCACTGTTGCAACGAACACCAGTGATCGCGGTAAGGGTGCAGACGTAAAGCAGAAGAATGGAGTTACCGAATAAACCGGTCATTTTCAGACTAACGCGGAGCGGAGGTGACCGACGATTGAGAAAGTATGTTAAGCGATTGTCCGGGTCATGGGTAAGTTGGGAGCATGCCTTCTTGGACCAAATCTCATGTCGAAACCGATCATAAACCCCTAGAGTAGTTCGGGGTCATCAGAGATTCTCGTGCGCTGGGCTCTCCGGTTTCAAGAATATGACTTCACGATCCGACACGCGCCGGGTAAAGAAAACCACACAACTGAATAGCTCTTAAGTCCAGAGGCTGACGATGAGGCCCCCAGGTGCCATGAGCGTCGTCGTTGAACTGGATTCCGGAAAGTTATTGCAACTCAAACGGCAGAATCCTGTGTTACGAAAGGTTGCAGCCGCCTCGTTACATGGAAGGACCATTGAGAACTGAGAGGGTGACAATAAACTGGAAACGTTCCAGAGTCACTCCGAGCGGTTTCGCCTGAGTCAATCTAGCATTGTTTCCTGAAACACCGCGATTGCGATGTTGTACTGCCCGAGACACCACGCGTCCTGAGACGGAAGCCGACAGTCAATTGCCACGAGATGCCACACACAGGATACATCAAGACATAATTCGGCACAGGGCCCAGTGGCGCCCACAGATCAAATCAAAATAAAAAAAACCGCGCGCACTGGCCTGTCCAGACTGCATGTCATATGACACCTAAATAAATTGCCGAAACATTGACATGCCCACAAAGATCAAGGACCAAAATGGCACCCGAGGCGAACCATCCAGTGAAGCACCCTGAAGTGAAAGAATAAGGAAAGAAACGCAATTGGAACTCATTTGAAATAGATCCAACTAATAAAATTCGAGATTTGGCCCCCATACTTGCCGACAAGAGCTGTTAATTGACAATCAATACCGATCTAGTTTAGAGAGGACTTGTTGATAGGTTCCCTGTCTGCCTAATAACCTGGCCAATTTGTTGAGCTCCTCACTTGGGATGATGAAGCTTTTGCGTCAAAAGTGTCAAAATAAAAACTACCAATTGTTTACAAAGCTCTTCTTACTGAATAATACTAGTTTATTTTGAAAAGATGTGCAGCGAAGAGCATTAGTTTCATGTCGCATTGTCTGCAAAATGTAGATGGTATTTTCTGATAAATCCCACGTGGCGAGGGGCTTCCTACATTCACTGGTACATAAATTACCAACGGGTGATTGCAGATATTCAGTATAAACGTTGCTGCATACTAGCCAGCAGAAAATTGAGTCACTTCAAAATTAATGAACTAGATATTCATCAAACCGCTTAAGCTCATGTCGAAAGTTAAGCTAACGAAACCGTGTTTGATGTATCAACGGTAAGTAGCTAGGATCTGCGGACGTGCGTGTTGACCATGTTCATTCTGGAAGTCACACTACTCATAGGTGGCTGAAAATCCGTCAACATCTGACCATCGGTTTTGTCGTTCTTCGGTATTGGTCACCGAGTTCATGTTCATCCGTGGTGCCATATATGCTGCTAGCTTATCGTGCTTCCTTACAGTCAACAAAAGCCAAGTCCATCTTCATGGTGATGTACGGTCGACATCCGCGTGTATCACCCATTTACATCTGCGTGGTAGCCAGTGAATATCTAGAGAAGTGCGAGAAGATGCCTTTATGAACGAGAAGAAGAATAGCCCATTTTGAAATGAAAGGGTTCCAGTTGCCTGTCCCATTGTCCGAAAAAGAGCAAGTGGTGTTTTCTGATAAGCATCTACGTGGCTAAGGCCTTCGCTACATTCACTGCTACATAAATTACAAACTGGTTATTGCAGATATCCCGTATACAGGCGTTGGATGCTAGCAAGTAGAACCTTGGGTCACTCCGAAATCAATGAGTCAGATGTTCATCACCTTCAAGCTAACGAAATCATGTTTGATGTATCGCCGGTAAGTAGCTAGGCTCTGTGGGCGTTCGTGTCGACTATGTTCATTCTGGAAGTCAGACTACTCATACGTTGCTGAGAATACTTCAACATCTGACCATCGGTTTCGTCATTCAGTATTCTAGTTGGTGCGATATTTGATGTACGCAGCACGCTGTTGTTTAGGCGTCATACACTACCAGTAAATTTGCTGAAAACGTTTAGACAACATATGACAGCTTTCGCCCTTCCTGGAGCTCCCGTCTAAAGCAACTTCGTGTGCAAATGAGACTAGTTGTCGACTGCCTTAAGAGGATGAAACTGTTATACAGTGATTCTCGGAATTTCAGTTTGGATGGGCTTCACTAACAAGTCAGAGGAAGAGTAATTTCATTGAATTGCGAAACTTCCTACTTGAGAGTTTTCACTCGAGTAGCCGTCAACATGTGACCACGAGATGTGGTTTTTCGGTGTTGAAGGATGAGCGGCAACATGTCAAATAGTGAGAACTAATCACACTACTAATCTGCCGGTTGGAACTCAACAGCCAAATGCTGAACTTAGTTGTTGAACCGTCACGGGTACGGTTTGAAACTACCTGGACCTTTGTGAAATGCCCCCTGTTGATGACTCCCATTAAGGACGTAACGAATTCTTGATGCCCCTCAGCTTCGGGCATAAAGTGCCTTTACTTACACAGAGATATTTCCACAAAACATTCCAAAGATGAGTTTGAACGATCAAAACCTGGAGACTGAAACATTCCCTACTTATTGCTGAGGAAAACGAGAGCAATTTAAGCACCCGACCTGAGGAGAGATGGAATCTAATTAGCGTCTAACCCATGGCTTTGGGGCTTTTCTGGGAAATTTAATCAAATGCTTACTGTTACTGAAGAGAACAGCTTATCAAGTAACTTATTGATTATTCAAGTTATAGGCATCAGATAGCCTGCATGCAACAACCTTGGTTATGTCACATGATTGACTGATTGCGGTAAGGTAATCTGAAAATGATCAGAGCCAACGGGATTTCAGAGAATACTGTCCAGGTAATCGATCGAAGACAATTACTCGGAACTCCGGTTTTACGCGTTCGATTGATGTTTGAAAGGTCGCCCAATATCCCTGCATGTGACAAAGTGAATGACCGTGAACCGATATCACATAATTGCAATTAAAATTCCGTTGAACTGATCAGTTGAAGCGTAATGCGTCGCGCTTGGAACCGACTAGATACCGCCTCGTAACAAGCACCTTCCTCGGACTTTGGCAATCCGTCGGGATTGTTGTACCCAGGATGAACCTGTTCAAATTTACTGTGGACTCACTCATAGATCATCGAGGCTTCCTCTAGTGCTTTAATAAACGAAGCGGTGAACAGAGCGGTTGAGCTCCTTCTGACTTATTGGCCTTCCAAAAATTAATAAACTAAATGGCTTGATGAGGCAGATATTGGACGGAGTTTGTTCCCCGCCGCATGAACTGGCCAGATTCTTGGCCGGCATTTTATAGCCCCTCACCGGGAAATCTAGTGCTACCTTTAACAATTCACATGTCTTCGCCAACAAACCAGCGGGTGTCCCTGTTTAACCAGATGCCTCCGTTGTAAATTTCGACGTGAATTCGTTATTTTCAAGTGTGCCAAAAGGGGACTCTTTAGAAATAGCCAAGTGTCAGTTATTGGCGAACACCATCCTTTCAGGACGGACTCAGCATACGGCAGATGAAATGGTGGAAGGTATAATTGCATGTCTCAATCTCGCATAATTCGTTTTTCATTTCAGTGGTATATAATCAAGATGAAGGTTTAACAATGAAATCTCAAATACTCGGGCTTTGGCAAATGTGTTTACGGAAATATTTGAACAGAGCTTTGACCGGATTTCCATGCCAACCTAAGTTAATCTGGCCGTATGCAGATGACATATTTGTCATGATGGGTCGGGAAGAATATAATGAGTTTTACAATTATCTAAATGAATTGCGCTCACAGATCAAATGTAGTATCGAGACAGAATAAATATCGTGTTCACTGGCCTGTTCTTGGTGATATCAAATAGGGTGTATTTGGAATGAACATATAGATATGCATCTTGGTCAAATTTGTGTCCGCTCGTTTGTCGTTTGCATGGGGTCATATGAGTATCGTATTGAAAATGTTACATACACAGCCACACATAATGTGTAAGTCTGTTTTCTTTTTTAAGATTCAGTGGGTAATATTTTATTCCCACTGAGTTTCGCCGCAGTGTGACTATTTATCTAGTACACAAGCGGACGGCCGATTTGGACGTATTTTTCAAGTCAAGCGATAACAATATTGTACAGCTTCAATGAGCAGGTCGTTGATGGGACACTTGACTGAATGTGGAACTGTGGTCCCCGCAGTGTTTTATCTAGTACACAAGCGGACGGCCGATTTGGACGTATTTTTCAAGTCAAGCGATAACAATATTGTACAGCTTCAATGAAATGAGCGTTGATGGGACACTTGACTGAATGTGGAACTGTGGTCCACATAGACACTTCCCAAATAGAATCATGCTTGCTGCTCTTAGGATAATGCATTCAAAGAATGTTGGGATAACTGATAATCCACCAAGTATGGATTATCTTACACTCTGCTTGCCTTCTTTGGCCTCGAGGCTTCAATCTGCCTGTTATCCTTCATTCACTTGTCATTTGTGTTCTCATTCAGGGGTGTCGTTTATCACGCGTATCGAGTCTTGCGTAAAAACATTGTCCCAGCGGAGAATATAACTACTTTTGCCTACAACGATATTGCAAATAATCCCAGGTAAATATCACGTAAAGTTTCCGCTAGATGGTAGCAATTGTAGTTTACAAAACGCATTTCGTTGCTTAGCCTAGAGAAGTCTCATTGTTCTTCCGTATTTCTTATTCACATCAATGATTAATTTGAGTTTCAGACAAGTATGGGTTTTCCTGAGTCGCTTCGATTGCCTTAGCAGATTTTCTGTTATTTGATGTATTTTCATGAAGGCAGACGACGTAGAACCCAGAGGCAAGCAGCACATTCTGATGATGATGATGATGTTAAAGATGCGTACTCGTTTAAGTACCACAGCTGACATATTTATAAACCACCTGAGCGAACACTATTCATAAGGTCATAGAAAGTCTCAGACAGCCCATGTCCTAGTTCAACCTTCTGCTTTTGGCTATCAAATGGACTAGCGTTCTTGTCAAAAGAACCACGAAATGTGCAAGATGACCAACAGTGCCGAATAGGGGATGCACCGGTTGATTGAACCTGTCGTAGAGTACCATGCCTCCAGAGGTTCCTTTACGTGTCGCGTGTCTCCGTATGCCAAAATTTTCGCATTTTCCAGATTGAACTTGTGGCCTTCTTGTCCTTGTATATAGATATAAAGGACGGGGTGTCATGCCTCCTAGCAGCCGCGTTGTGTTCCTTTATTCGTGTACATAATTTTCCTGTGATATCCCGAGTGATGCGCCAACCGAAACAAGCAGCGTGTCCAGCACAGCACATTTAGCTAAACCATATTGTAGATATGACATTTTCAACTGGGTTTCAGTTGAGTGCTAATGATAAATACGCACTTCAATATTGCTGCTATTTCTCACGTATGTTGTATTCCCTAGCTCCTGAGGTAGATGAGGGCTACTTGGTAGTGATTAGTCCAGGCAGTCCATGTTCAACACAACTACTATCCCTAAGCTTGAGGATCAAATCCATATGCCATGCTTGGCAAACAAACCAACAATCGAATTCTTCCGTTTTCAGCATACAGCGACCATTGCGGATAAATGATAAGAATGAAGATGGGGAGCATATCCTAGAGTTCACTTATTTCTTAGGGTGAATGTGGATGGATACTAGGAAGGGAATGGGTTTGTGGAACACTATCGTCAAAGGAATAATTGGTCATTCATGTTCGTCCGTTTTAGGATGTCACACGGGATAGCTACGTGAAAGGCGATGATAAACGTGAAGACGACAAGAAGAAGGTGCTTAAAAGGTGAGTTGGCGCGGAAGTGGATAATGTTGCTTCACTTGCTGATCACAGCCAGAATTCTAGTTTTGCAGGTCACCGTCTTCAGATTTACGAAATGCGTGTTTAGTATTCTCGTAAGTAACTTGGTACGTAATCACTTTGAGTAAGCCTCCCAGAAGTCAGTCAAGATGTTTTGCTTCACTCCAGTGGAAACCCGGTTTAGCCATTTCTGCCTACGTTTTATCATTACATCATAGGTATTAATCGCCACTCTACACAAGTTTCAAAATTATTAAGATATGCGCAGTTGCGAATGGTAAAATATCTCCTCGACTTGTACGAATTGGGGTCGGTCGATGTTGGTTTCCTCGGATTCAAGAGTTGTTTCAGCTTACGGCGTTGAAACGCGCAAATAAACCCTTTTCTTTGGATAATCGAAATCCAAGTCCACTGGCGGCCCTTTCGCTTTATGGCTGTCCCTCAAATCTGTATCGCTATTCACCCATTAGATTAACGAACAAAACCCGATCAGAATTTAACTGAAACCCCTCCATCCCACGGAGGTAATATTTCGACAACCACACTAATCCACAAGAGCTTTAATTTAGCCTCATCCGTGACCTAGTGTGACGATCAGAAAGGGGCTTACTGATTGGTTCCCCGCATGTGTTTTAACCTGACAAATTTGGCCACCTGCTCACTTGGTCTGATGAGGGGTTGGGTCA